CAAAATTTCTTAAAGATTAATAAAGGCGTTTTGGGGTTAGATTTTTTATACAGTTGTTGCTTTACTTTTGTCCAATAGTGTATATTATTATTTTACGTATCCAACATATATTTTGTTAAATATTGTAATATATAATTGATAATAATCCTATTTACCTCTCTAACACCTGTTAAAGGTAGCAAGGTCCATTATTATCCCGTTCTGCCTCAAAATAGCGTGTTAAGGATGATACCAACTCTTGACTCCGACTATTTAAATGCTTCGGCATTTTAAATATAGGAAAAACAAAAAAACGATATATAACAAAGACAAAAAACGGCAATGAAAACTTAAACGATATAAAATAACACAAACAAGAATCAAAATAAAAGAAATTATACACGAAATATTCGAAATTCTAAAACGTCAATTTCTTTTTCTATGGGTCATTTTATTAAGCAAAATTTTAATCTAAACATGACAACATTGCAATTGCTACCAACTTAATTTGGTTAAAATGCATTAAAATATTCAATTACAGACTTCGTTTTATACATTTAGTATTGGTACCAGTGTGCAAAATTATGACGTCGTTTCCTTTTAAATTTACTATAAGTGCGTATGGCTTGAGGTGTACCCTTTAGATTCGTTCACAGATTATAAAGGTTAAGCGACATATCCATTGTTAGATGTTGGTTCTAGTCTTAATTGTTGATTTTTTATCTTGTTTGGGACGGCCATTGATTTTTTTGTCTTCCATATATAATAATATAAACCATTTAAGTGATTAATACAAAATCTTTTTGCCTGTCCTTTTTGTCTAGTTTGTTAAAGAATATTTTTGAAAGGGTAAATAAATAAAATAACTGATCCGTGTCCATTAAAGTTGCCATAGATTTAACCCAATAGTAATAAGCTACTAACAATTTTGTGTATATTGTCATTTTTTATTAATTATAATACTTGTTGTTACTTATTAATTTTATTCCAATAATATATTGTATTTTTGGTATTACATTTTTGTTCAATTAATAAATGTTTCTTTTTCCTACCTTAATTTTGGAGCATCCTTCAGCAACGGACTTAAATCTGACGTACTAACTGATGGTGGACGGGAATTGCTGGCGGAGTTGCTAAAAAAATCAGCTTCAGCTTCAGCTAGATGCTCGATAAAGTGTTCTTTTCTTACCATATTCTGACCACCCCAGGATCCAAATCGAAATTGCTTTCAGAGGGTAGCTTAACGTTTCCAGTGCTCAACATCCTTCGAAATTTGAATCTAAATCCATTAGACGGGGATTTCGGTGAACTGGACGTAAGTTTCTCATAAACAGGACTCTTGGGTTCCATTTTAACACAAAAACACTATTTTAAGCGAAACACTGTAACGACAAAGTTTGAACGAAACTAAAGCGAAATATACTGAAACTAGGATGAGATATGGGAGTGCTTCCTGTTAAAATGGTATACCACTTCCTCCAGTTGAGATACAACTACTAAATATGTTGAATGTTTAAACCACAAATTAATAAAATTATTGTGCGTTTTCAATTTCGCTAATTAATCGGGTGTGGACTTGATAATTACTTTGAAAGGACGGCAAAAAAGGAAAAACAATTTTTTTTTTCAAAAAATGTGGAACGCTTCACGATTTTGCGTGTCATCCTTGCGCAGGGGCCATGCTAATCTTCTCTGTATCGTTCCAATTTTAGTATATGTACCGCCGAAGCGAGTACACTGTATCATATCTTAACATCGTATATATACTTAGCGCGACTGCAATAACACCGGCGAGATGTAACATCTCAAAATCATCCATAACTTTCCTATTTATCAAGATATTTTAACGGAACAAACGCTGAAATGTATTAAATTGTATCGCAAACAACATTATCACAAACAAATTGTAAAAATGTATGGTGATATTAGTGATATCAGAGAATTTACTTTAATTTAAGTATGTAGCGCCATCTATGTCGAAACGGTTTAAGTAGGGGAATGGAAACTGCCCAGTCGGTCACCTTGCGCTGGTATATTCGCAAAATTATCGATTATTCAGTCATTTCGCGACCAGTGAAGTTGTAAGTGTTCTGTGATAGGTACGTACTTTATCTCACAACTTTTTTTTAAGAACAATACTACACTTTTCCATTTATATTGCCTATAAAGCCCTCAAAACAAGTGTGTATAGTTTTTTAGCTTAAATATAATTAATTAATGGTTATGTATGTGTTATAACGGTTAAATTGTTCATAACTACATAATTATTACGTAACAACGCTAGTTATTTTTGTAAAGAAGTTGGCTGTGGTAATATAACTGTCAAATAAACGTCAAATTTACATTTTAAATCATATAATATGTTATATAATTAATTTAATTTGTAAGTTTGACATTGGCTTATTTTAACCCAACCTTGCTCTAATTTTACTTTAAATTACGAACAACATATCACTTTTTATTTAGTGCTTTGTAATTGAAGTAAAAATTTTCCTCGTGCAAGTGACTAGTTTGATGACGCAATCATTGCATTTACCTAACCTCTTGCAATTACTAAAGACCACGTGCGACACGTGTTTTATACAATAAATTTTATTATTTTATTTTGTTATTATGCCAAGATAAACTCAATTTGGTATTTTTGGCGCGTCAAAAAACGTTATCAATTGTTTTGATTATCTAACTTAGATAATCTAAGCCTACTATTGTTTAGCGAGTAAAGTATTTTTGACCTTGAGGCCTTGAATCTTTTACATAACGGATTTGATCGACACTTACGTCATTAAAGGTGAGATTTTTATTGTTTTTCAGCTTTAATTAAACTAATAAATCGGCAAAAATGGGAGTACCAGCTGGTGATGTAGAAAAAGGCAAGAAACTTTTTGTCCAAAGATGCGCACAATGCCACACCGTTGAGGCTGGAGGCAAACACAAAGTTGGACCCAACTTGAATGGACTAATTGGTAGGAAGACCGGACAAGCGGCCGGATTCGCCTACACTGATGCGAACAAAGCCAAAGGTAAAAAAGTTTTTTGAATTTTTTTTTTGGTTTTGAATTATGATATAAAAATGGAATAAATTACCTATATGTGATTAAGTACCCTTTAAACTATGTAAATATAAAATCAAAAAATATCGAAAATTCACCATATCTGTGAATTTTTGATATTTTTTGATAAAAATTTATATTTACATAGTTTAAAGTGACCTTTAATTTATATTAACAAAAATTATTGTAAAAAAAAATCTTCATTCTAGGTATTACATGGAACAAAGACACACTGTTCGAGTACCTCGAGAACCCCAAAAAATACATCCCCGGCACCAAAATGGTGTTTGCCGGTTTGAAAAAGCCACAAGAGCGTGGCGACCTCATCGCCTACTTGGAATCAGCAACCAAGTGAACAAGTTAACTAAATTATTTATACTGCAAAAACACGATCTAAAAAACCATGATACTAAAACATAGATAGCGAAAAAATTATCTATATTCTACTGTTAGTTTGGTATTGTAGGTTTTTTATGTTGTGCTTCGAATTGTATCAGTAGTATTTCATTGTACAAAGACGGATTTATCACTTGTCTGACAATGTGAGAACTTGTACAAACTAGCCAATTTTATTCAATCGTTTTTATTTAATGAAACATACGATAAAACTCTGTACAGTATGCTGTAGGTAATTTTATTTTTATTTATTTTGCTCTATGCATAATGTTACCTCAACAGACCTTATTTAAAATAAATTATTTATGAATATACGCCTTTTCATTTAATATTCTTAATCAGCTGTCAAAATTATTTAAAATCAATAATTTATGTTGTATTTTATCTAAACATAAACAAAATCAAAGTTCTAAGACCAAAATTTGGACCCGTTCCTTCTGACCTTTAAGACTTTTGTTATTTAACATCTGTTTTGAAGTCTACTTTTTTCGAATATGTATCAATGCTGCCAACCTCAAGAATTAACACCTTTTGTTATTATGCTTGTCCATAAAAAATTTAAAAGATTTATACACCAAGCGATAGTTGTATTTTTAAAATGCTCACTGATGGTAAATAATATAATAATTATAACAATAAATACCTTTTTACATACTTTTTCAGTCAATTTCAACCAAGGATTTTACACAATCCTTGAATTTCAACAGCATTTGTCATTTCGACGTTCACTTTTTTCGAAAATCAATGCTGCCAACCCCAAAAAGTATTAACTTAATGATAAAAAAACTCACAATTATTGTGTCACAATTTGTGTGGATTGTGCAAAAACCGAGTTTATGGCAATAAATGTAGTCTACATCGTTATATATCGTTAAAAAGTGTAATTCTGCTTAGCCACGTAACAATTTAACCAAGCGATAATTTTGTATTTTTTCTACAACGCTTTGAAGCCATTGCAAAAAAACATGTTTTTTCAAGTGATAAATGCTTACTGATGGGAAATAACATAATAATAATAACAATAAATACCTTTTTCCATACATTTTCACTCAATTTTAACAGCAAAACACATCTTATAAAAAAACAACCAACTAAAAACATTTGTCATTTCGACGTTCACTTTTTTCGAAAATCAATGCTGCCAACCACAAAAATTAACAACTTTATAACACAAAAACCGAGTTTATGGCACGAAATTTAGACTTTGTGGTTGCTTATATCGTTAAAAAGTGTGATTCTGCTTGTGCACGTAACAATTTAAAAGATTTTTTACACCAAGCGATAATTTTGTATTTTTTTTACAACGCTTTGAAGCCATTGCAAAAAAACATGTTTTTTCAAGTGATAAATGCTTACTGATGGGAAATAACATAATAATAATAACAATAAATACCTTTTTTCATACATTTTCACTCAATTTTAACAACAAAACACATAAAAAACAACTAAAAACATTTGTCATTTCGACGTTCACTTTTTTCGAATATCAATGTTGCCAACCCCATATTATTAAGTTAAAAACCATTGCTACCAACCCCAACCACCAACACATAAAAATAACACAAAAATCATGATAAAAACATTTATTTAAACTTTTTCGCATTCTATCTTAACATTAATATTACAGGACGCCATTTGCGTGACGAAAAACTTAAAAATATAGGGGATTTGAATTTCGGAAATGTTTTCGTTGGTGCCGCACAAACTGCAGCTATCTTTTGTTTCCGACAAGTGCGGTTTGTTGTCTTTTCTCGTCACCATGGTGATGGGGCCCAGTAAAGACCCGCACGCTGTGCAAATATTGGCCTGAAAAAAGGGGTTTGGAAGACCAAAAAATATGCAATCACAGGGTACTTACCGTAGTTCTGTCAGAGCAATGTAAAAGTCTGTCTTGGAGTAAAAATGACGCCCCATGACTTATGAGGGAGTCTCTCTCCATTTCCCCGAATCTCACCCCACCACCGCGCTTTCTACCTTTCAGGGGCTGTCTTGTTAGAACGTCTATAGGCCCTGTGGACCTAACCTATAATTTTTTTTATTTTTTTTTGTTTTTTTTTTTGTTTTAGTGAACCCACCTGCCACTTATCGGACACCATGTGTCTTAACCGTTGGTAGTGGACCACGCCGAAAAATATTTCGGCCTTCATTTCCCTCCCATCGATTCCAGAGTACATGGTTTCCGTACCATAGTAATTGTAGCCACCTGTACGCAAGAAAATTTTTTTTTATCGAACTATTAAAAAAATTAAATAATTTTTTTTACCCGCTTCCAGAAGGCGCCCGAAGTAATCGATCGCGGTGTCATCTTCGTTGAATTTGAAAGGCGTGGCGTCGTGGACTAAGCCGTGCAGAGCCGCCGATTTACCGGCCATGATTTCAATCATCATGGCGATTGTCATTCTCGAGGGGAAACCGTGGGGATTAAATACGATATCGGGAACCAACCCTAAAATGTCCAATATTGAAAACATGGTGCCTGAGGGTTAAGTCGATTATCTCCGTAAATGTCAGTGCTACGCTAAAAATGGTCATAACGAAAATTGTTAATGAAGAAATTCCCAACAACTTTTATTATGCACTTTTTTTTGCATCATTAATATTTAAAAAGTTATACCCTGTCGATGTCGAATATTAAAAAAAAATGGTGCCAGAGGGTTAACTCGATTTTCTCCGTAAATGTCAGTGCTACGCTAAAAATGGTGGTAACGAAAATTGTTAATGATAAAATTCCCAACAACTTTTATAAAACACTTTTTTTCGCATAATTAATATTTAAAAAGTTATACCCTAAAAATGTCCAATATTAAAAAAAATGGTGCCTGAGGGTTAAGTCGATTATCTCCTTAAATATTAATGCTAGGGTAAAATGGTTATAATGAAAATATTAAACGAAGAAATTTCCAGCAAATTTTATTTAAAACTTTTCCCATTATTAATATTTTAAAAGTTATACCCTAAAAATGTCCAATAATAAAAAATAAATGATGTCTGAGGGTTAAGTCGATTATCTCCATAAATATCAGTGATACGAATATGTTTTTTGCGCCATGGTAGAATATTCTTACTAAATTAAAATTAAAGGAATAATTATTATAATCATGATATTATGATTATTATCAGTATGGGAATTCACTTTTTTCTCGATGGATATTATACGTAAAAATTTGGATATTTTTAGAAAAATTGTCGTTTGCATATTTTGTACCTATTACCCCTTAAATATACCTAATTTAAAAAATGAAAAAGTCAATTTTTCTGAAAATTTCCTAATTTTTTTTCGAAAAAAAAACGTTTTTTTCCGCCAGCTCAATTTTTCCGGAAATTTTAAATCTCTAGTGCTACGCTAAAAATGGTTATAACAAAATGAAGGAATTCCCGACAAATTGTATTAAAAACTTTTTTTACACCATTAATATTTAAATATGTATACCCTAAAAATGTCCATATTAAAAAATAAATCCTGACAAATTTTATTGAAAACTTTTTTTTGCATAATTAATGGGTATTTAAAAAGTTATACCAAAAATTTCCAATATTAAACAAAAATGGTACCTGAGGGTTAAGTCTATTATCTCCATAAATATTAGTGCTAGGCTAAAAATGGTCATAACAAAAATTGTTAATGAAGAAATTCCCAACAATTTTTATTTAAAACTTTTATTCGCACCATTAATATTTAAAAAGTTATACCCTAAAAATGTAAAATATTAAGAAAAAATGGTGGCTGAGGGTTAAGTCGATTATCTCCGTAAATATCAGTGCTACGCTAAAAATTGTCATAACAAAAATTGTTAATGGAGAAATTCCCGATAACTTGTATTATGCATTTTTTTTCGCATCATTAATATTTAAAAAGTTATACCCTATAATATTAAAAAAAAAATGGTGCCTGAGGGTTAAGTCGATTATCTCCGTAAATTTCAGTGCTACGCTAAATATTTAAAATGATATACCTGTTTCTGTGAAGGGTAAATCCTCGGCGGGCCATTTTTGCGAACATATACCTTTCTGTCCGGCCCTACTGGCGAATTTATCGCCCACACTTGCGTTCCTCTGCAAAAAGTCATTAATAAAGTTACAAAAACACACCTCTCGGCTTACTTGAATTCTGAAGGTTATGCATGCGGTTTTCGGCGCCTTCATCCCAAAATCCCCACACAACCTAACACTGTGCACGAAGCACTCCTCCTTGCCGCCGAATTTTTTCGTGACGTAGTTGGAAGTATCGGAGCTATAGAAACAGTACAGCGGATCGCCGGCTTGTATCTTCCTGCCTATCACCGGCAAACCGTCAGTGTCCACAAATTCCGACAGATTATCCTTGTTGGGGTCCCTGCAGAAGTAGGAGTGGGGGTGGTCCACCTCCACGAACTCCGATTTGTAGATGGAGCCGTGCGCGAAACCGCGCTCGTCAGAGGACTTGTTGATTATCATCGCGTCCTCCATGTCATAGCCCTTCAAAATACATCGTAAAATACGACGAGATTTTCGCCCTGCAAACCTACCGTGTAACTGATTACGGCCACTATTGCGTTGGTTCCCATGGCGAAATCGTCCAGCGCGATGTTGTCGTGATGCACGGGCCTGAACAAAGGCGTCCCGGGGGTCTGAAGCCTGTACAACTTGGTCTCCGCCTGTAGATCCCAGTTGTGACAGGGCGAGCCCATCGTTTGCTTGCCCATCTGACACTGATACATGTTGCGCGGCGATTGGTTACAGTCCGGCATCGGAATCAGCATCGCCAAGTTCGAGAGAAAACCGGTTTTCGACAGTTCCATATGGGTTGTAACGCCTGAAACGTTACGGTACTGTGATTTGAGGATTTGAACCCTTGTGGAAATTTTAGACTCTTCATTCAATGTTGTGAATGCCTGTTGAAGGTATTGAGCACGTGAATGCTTCTAGCAAGCATTTGTTAAAAAAAAACTGAGCTGATAAAAATGAAAGCTAGCTTATATAGTTGGAATTGATTGGCAAGAATTAATAACAATAAATATAAATTAAAGGTAATATCGGCCAATTTTGTTTACACAACTCGACGTATATTACAAGAGTTCAAACGAATTGAAAAATTCGTTCGAACATTTTTTTAAAAACCTATATCTCAAAAAAACGATTCTTATTCAAATAATATAATATTTTTGTGATAAATATCTGTACAAAAAGTTATTTTTTGTAAAAATGCAAAGTGAATATATATCATACCTAATGTTTTACTAGTTATTACATTTCTTATGATCACATGACAATTATTCATTTATTTTCAACAAAATTAATTATTATAAAAAAACAGGACCCACACCGTATATGACGTCACTTCCGTCTCGTGTCGTTTTTTCTATGTTTATTAATTAATATCTATCTTAAAACGTTTTCTTCCACTTAATCTTCGAATTTGAATCCTCGACTAAAGTAGAGAGCCTACAATTTTCATTTTTCTATGATTTCTATTCATCACAAAATATTCAAGGACTATGAAGGTAAAAACATCCACAAAGTAAAAGAGCAGCAAAGTATTCGGACAACTCTTGACAAATCTTGAATAGAACCATATTCAGGTTCATTAAACAATATAAATTAGTTCTATTTACAATGTAAAAGAAATAGGACAAAACCAGGAATTGAGATATGATATAATATTTTATGTGTGATTTTCAAATTATTGGACAATATAATCTAAAAATCGAATAATTTTATAGAAAATGGATGAATTTCAAATTTTTAAAATATCATGCCCGGTACTGTATTTGGGCCAAGATTTTTCGTGGTACGGTCCTGTTGCAATCGATACCAACATTCGAATTTAAAGCGCGAAAATCCCAAAACCGTACAAACCGTTGCAATTCTTCAATTTAACCTTCACCAGACGTATAATTAGGATGATTGCACCCAATTACTCGCTTTTTTGTTGCGAAATTCCGCTGGGTTTTATAGTTAGTCGCCGAAGTGACAGCCGCGAAAAGTGAGGTTACGTCGATTAGTAAACGTCAAAAGCGTGTATGCGCGCTACCGCCGTATGGCTGGCAGTCTGTTGAAGCGCTTCATCGTCATGGCACCGAAAGTGGTATTCGTGTTGGGGGGCCCCGGAGCGGGAAAGGGCACGCAGTGCCAGAAAATCGTGGAAACTTTCGGCTACGTCCATTTATCAGCCGGGGACTTATTAAGAGAGGAGCGCGCCAAACCGGGCTCCCAGTACGGAGAGCTGATAGAGAATTACATAAAAGAAGGCAAAATCGTTCCGGTGGAAATCACTTGCAGCCTGCTGGAGAACGCCATGAAAGTCAGCGGGGAGGATAGGTTCCTGATAGATGGGTTCCCCAGGAACCAGAACAACCTCGAAGGGTGGAACAAAACCGTGGCCAACAATGTGGAACTGCAGTTTGTGCTGTTCTTCGACTGCCCTTTGGATATTTGCACCGAGAGGTGTCTGCAACGAGGGGCAGCTGGTAGTGGCCGTACCGATGACAACTTGGAGAGTCTGAAGAAGAGATTCAACACCTACGTGCAAGAAACCAAACCCATTATCGACCACTATGCCACCATGGACCTGGTCAAAACAATTGACGCCACGAAAAATCCCCTGGAAGTTTTCGAAGACGTAAAGGCTATTTTTAAGGCTAAAGGGGCTGGAGACTCCTAGGGGTACTTAAAAATGCAGTCCAACATTCCTAGTATGTAGGCTAGTCAAGGTAACAACTCGGTGTTCACTTAATTATAGGTTTTGGTGGCATTTGTATATTTCTGAATAAATAAATCCAATTTGTCCTATTTTATTGATTGGTTTATGTTATACTTACACACTTAATTTTTACATTGATTTGTATTTACCTAGATAAGCTTTAAACATTATTTAAAAAAGTATTTGTTATCTAGCAATTTTAATACCAGTGGTCTTATGATAATAAAATGTTATTTTCACCTGAATTAATGTAAAAACAAGCTTTATCTATACATTAAAACATTTTATAAAACGAAGCTTTTTATTGTTGGCACCCCCGAAAATTCAAATTGACAAGTTTAGTGAAATTAGTGGTTTGTTATTTAGCAATGTTATTACCAGTGTCCTTATGATGATAAAAATATGTTATTATTACCTATAATAGTGTAAAACAAGCTTTTACCTTTCCATACGCTAAAGAAGTATCGGGTTTTCGCAACGCGCGCGCCATCTGGTGGATTTCGATAGCATTGCGTGAATTTAAGAATGTTCAACAATACATTTAATTTAAATGATTTAAAGCATACGAACTGTACCTACATCATTTTTAAATAAATAGGTAGTTTTTTTACAAAAGAGAGGAAGGCATAAGTCTTACTCGACAAATTTTGTTCAATTGCCCAGCTAAATCGCGCACGTTATTTGTGTTTTACGTTGTTATTATTCTTTATATCATTGATTAAGAAACTCAACGCTTAAATGCTTATATAGTTACGTTAGCGTGTATATTTTATCAACGGGATCATGGTGAATTATTGTTTTTAATTGTAAATAAAATTCAAGAACTAAATCGTTGCATTTTCATGTTTTGCCAAAGGATACAATTCGGTAAGTACATTTGTTGGTGCAGAATTAACTAATGATAACTTTACCTAGTATAATTTATATTTAAGTTTGGACATTTTTAAGAAATTAGTAAAAATAATTTTTGCACAAACATAACCGTAAAATCAACCATTTTTATGTTTGAGTTCTCTAAAAAACGCCGACAACTGCATTTTAAACAACAAAATATACCTACGAATTCATGGCAACATAATATTATATATAATACATAATATAATGGTATTTTACCGTTGAGTGGGGACTTTCTTAATCAACGATTTTAATAATGCTAAATGCTGTTTAAATTTAGACGACTTATTTGTTCGACGATTTTTACTGAATTGAAATGTTTTCACTTTTCACGTTGATCAGTACTAAAATGTGTATTTATTGTATCTTATAGGTACAATTTACATTTACAGAGACTGTATGCAATGTATTTCTTCATTCAGATTAACACTGTTTATTGGAAAACCGGTAAAAACTCAACCCAGGATTTCCTCTCGAAATACACCCAACAACACAACAAATCCAGCCACGGTTTTTATCCGATATTTTTTAACATTTTCCGGCTTTACTCTCAAAAACACTCGTTTGTAACATAAGCGTTTGGCAGCTGATTGCGATTTTTCTTTAGCGTATTGTTGGTACCCCCGAAAATTCAAATGTTGTTTTTGACAGTTGTTGACAGAGTTTGTGACAGTTTGAAGTCAGGTTAAATCGATATAAAATCAACAATGTCGTCAATAAACATAACAAAATCATTCCCAAAAATGTCGAAAATAGTGTTTGTGCTGGGTCCACCGGCAAGCGGCAAAACGAGGCAATGTTCCTTCCTCGAAGATTATTTCGGGTTCGTCCACATAACCTTGTCGGAATTGACGGAGGAGAATAAATTACTAAAACCCATCAAAGAGTTAATGAACTCAGCGAGAAAGTTGATCACGTTCGAGCTCTCGGACGTTAGAGCGACCAGAAAGTTTATCATTTTGGATGGGTATCCGGAAACTATGAAACAGCTGGAATATTGGGAGAAAAGCGTCGCGCAGAACATAGACTTGCAGATGGTTTTGTTTTTGGATTGCCCTTTACAAAAATGCCTTTTAAGAGGTTTAGAAAGGCAGTCGTTTAGCAGGAAAGACGTCGATGAAGTACAGCAAAAAATCGATTATTATGTTAAAAATACTCTACCAGTTATAGAGCACTTTAGAACAATGAACCTGGTAAGGCAAATTAATGGGGATATGACCTGTGAAAAGGTGTTTGTTGAAGTGCAAAAAGTGTTCCGAATTGGTGTAAAAGATATGAGGTTTTAAGAATAATTAAATGCTGTCTTTAATAGGTAATAATTGTTTGAACCTTCTAATACAACTTTAAATATTGAATTATTCTTGTTGGGTCTATACGCTAAAGAAGTATCGGGTTTTCGCAACGCGCGCGCCATCTGCGTTAAAACTAAAAAACTGGTTTAGTGCTCGATTTCGATTGATTATTCCTTATATTATTGATTAAGAAACTCAACGCTTAAATGCTTATATAGTTACGTTGGTGTGTGCATTTTATCTAAGGAATCATGGTGAATTATTGCGTTTTTAATTGTAAATAAAATTCAAGAACTAAATCGTTGCATTTTCATGTTTTGCCAAAGGATACAATTCGGTAAGTACATTTGTTGGTGCAGAATTAACTAAGGATGACTTTACCTAATATAATTTATATTTAAGTTTGGACATTTTTTAGAAATTAGTAAAAATAATTTTTGCACAAACATAACCGTAAAATCAACCATTTTTATGTTTGAGCTCTCTAAGAAACGCCGACAACTGCATTTTAAACAACAAAATATACTTACGAATTCATGGCAACATAATATTATATCATTGAGTAAAGAAGTGGGGAAGAGGCGTGGTCTAATGTATTTAAAATAACTCCAAAATCGATCCTCGTTGTTAGAGGCGCCACCGTCGATCTTATCTTGAGATTTAAATTCTAAATTAGAGTGAGACCGTTAGAGTGAGACAGTAAGAAACGCGTCGTCATCAGCATCCCCACTTTCTATGCAATGCGCGGCGGCCGCCGGTCGCATGCATCGTGAAGGTCGACTAGATTAAATTTAATTCAGTTGCACAAAGCAATTGCTGAAGTAGGTTGTTGTACTTAATTCGTTAGCGAAAATGAATAATTTACCTACAAATACTTGTTTATATAACAAATGTTTTTAAAAAAAAGGCAAAACCAGCTTTGTATTGTTCCAATTTCCAATAAAAGACACCGAACGGTGTGAAATTTGGAAGAAAAATTCCGGAAATCAACTTTTATTGGATTTAGATTATAATGATCTAAAATTTAAATGTATTTGTGAAAAACATTTTTTGCCGAAGGACATTCTTACAAGCCTTTTTTAATAATTAATTCTTTAAACGCATTAAACAATTAATTTTATATTCTTTATGTAAATAAATCATTACAGGTGCGTGAAAATATATTTATTAATTTTTAAGTGAAAATAAAGATAAAACTACAAAAAAAACAATATAATTTGATTTGTTTTGTTTATCTTAAAATGACATTGTTATTTTCAAAAATCTTGCAATAGGCATTCACATAACGGTATTTGCTTAATGTTTTTGATGTTTATATTTCAAACTATTCAAATGTGTTGCTTAATATTTTGTTTTTGGTGATTTAATTTAAAAAAATGCTACATACTAATCGGCAACCAAATTTTGTTTTAGTTTTGAAATAGACACACCCGTGCGCACGGGGGGTTTGGGGGTTTAAAATTTAAACCCCCGGGGTTTTAAAAGAATATTAATAATTTTTTAAAATTATTTTGAACAAAATTCCTCTTCCGGTTTTAACAGAAGCGATTGTTTATTAATTTAAAAAGGGGGTTTAAAATTTAAACCCCCGGGGTTTTAAAAGAATATTAATAATTTTTTAAAATTATTTTGAACAAAATTCCTCTTCCGGTTTTAACAGAAGCGATTGTTTATTAATTTAAAAAGTAATATTTAAAAATTTGAAATATTTAATACATAATAGGAATTGTACAATATCTTTGTTATTATTAACTTTAGGTATGGTATAGGAAATGGTTATATCAATGAAAAGGTACAGGGCGTTGCATTAAAAATAAAAAAGTTATTGCTAAATAGTAGTCATAGAATTTGAAAATAAGGCACTTACGTGTTGTTAATTAAATGGTCATTATGTTGTTGAAAATGACAAAAATTTGAAAACTCTGGGGTATATATATATTACAATTTTGGAGCTGCTTGAGAAATATTAAAAAATAATTTAATTTTTGTAAAGAATAATATATATATATATATGTATATATGAGAAAAAAAAATCGGCAAAATGTTAGTGTTTTTAAAATTTGTCTTTTAATTTAATACTTTTAAATAGTTAGTTAATTTTTAAGTAGAAAAATTTAAATTTATTTATTATTTAATATATTCAAAAAAAACTACCTTTTTTTAAATAAAATTTGCATAAAAAAGTATAAGATTTCTTGAAATTCATCATTGGATATTTTGATAACAAAAATTAGGGATTTGTTTAATCTTATTTTATTTACAAACAATTCTAAAAAAATCGATTAGTTTAGAAAAATCATAATTATCTAACGTAATAAGGGACGTTCATAAATGATGTCACACACTTAGGGAGGAGGAAGGGGTCGTCGTATACAGGGGAACCCAACAAAGTATCCAACAACACTTTGACAGATGTCAAGTGAACAGGTGACATATGTCAAGTGACAGATGTCAAGTTAACAGATGACATATGGTAGGTGATATATGACAGGTGGCAGATGACAAATGACAGGTGACAGATGATAAATGGCAGGTGAGAGATTACAGGTGACAGATGCATGGTGCTGTTCTGAGAGGTGATTTTTGGACTTTCTGTGAAACCTAATTTTTTTTATATTCTTGTTAATTAGGTCATAAAATAAATTTTAAGAGCAAAATAAAAAAAATTTGACGGTTAATTTTGTTTTAATTGTATGTTTATTAAAAATATGTAGGTATGCACACTTTCAATTCTCCAATTAAAACTTGCGATTTTATTTAAATATTACCATAACTTTTTAAATCAGATTAAAGATTAGGCCCGATAAACTTTACTAAAGATGAATAAACCGGTCCTTCGTTAAATTTCATGAATTTCTTTGTAACTTTTACTACAATTTTTCATTTTTGTTTATAAAAAACACTTTAAAAAACTAAACAAAAATTATAGAATACGTATACTGAAAATGACAATTCAAACGTCAAATAAATTTTTAATAGATCTAAGTTTCATGGCAACCTTTAAGGATATATTAATTAAGGGAACATAAATGTATACGTCAAAGGTTATATTAAAAATTGAACGTTTATTGCAACAAAACAGTAAAATATATAAAAAAAATTGTAAAAACCTTTTTTTTTAGTTATGCAATTATTAAATATTTAAATTAAATCGCTAGTTTTAATTGGATAATTGTAAGAGTGCATAATATTTTAAAAATATCAAAAAAACGTGTGACATCATTTATGGACGGCCCCTAAGATACTCAATGATTTAATATTAAAAAATAATAATACGTGTAAAATTTTTACCTGTCAAACAAAAAATATACCACAGACAAATTTAAATTTTTTAAAATTTGCATATCTACTCTTGACTATAACTTGATAACATGATTGGTTTTAATTTTTTTTTAATTTAATATTTTTTAAATTTGCAGATACTGAAGAAAATTTTAGTGTCTTAAGGGAAACAAATGTAAAAACCTATGAGATTAACAGGCAAAATATTGAGAATGAAAATTTTGTAGATAATTTAGATAGCCCAGAAAGACCAAACTCTGTACTTAGTGACCGATATTTAAATATGCCATCACCAGAAAAAACTTGTTTGAGAAAAAATAACAAAGAAATGTCCTGTAAAATAATAAAATTACGGAAAAAAATTAAATGCAAATTACAACAAGTTAAAAGATTAAAAAATAAAAATAAAAACAACCATTTTTCAATCAAAGAAATTTTAAATAATTTATTGAGCAATAAGAGTCATTTTTTAAAAACTTTTATTTTAATGCAGCTTTTTCATAATTAATGCATTTACATTACATTTGTACAAAACATGATAATTTTTGAAAGAAAGAATTACAAGTAAACATTTCCATTTCTTTGCCAATAAAAATTAAAATAGTTTCAGTTACACTCACATTAATAATATCTTGGGCAGCCTGTAAAAATGATTTATGTTTTTAATAATTCAATATTTTATTAACATTAATATTACCTTTCCTGGCTCAGTTTGCTCCGGTTTCTGTTAAAAAAAAGATGAATAATTTTCTGATATTTAATTATTTTAGTATTAATAATAAATTTTATTACCCCTTCAGTTCTGGTTGAACTTTCGCCGTTTTTCTGAAATATTAATTAAATTAATAATAAAATTTAATATTTTAAAGGTATTATTATTACATTTTCGGGATTTTTGGTTTGCTCCGACTCCTGGTAAATAAATTATTAAGATTAATTACAAGTTTTATATTTAGGTATTTTATTATTTATATTATTATTACCCCATCCCCCTTCTCTTCCTGGACCAGCTGAAAAGTTAATTAGATTAATAAAGAATTTAATATTTTAGAAATATTATTATTAGATACCTTTTCGGGCTCAGTTTTCTTTGCCTTCTGGTAAAAAAATATTTAGATTAATGACAGATTCAGTTTTTATTATTTCAGTATTATTACCTCGTCGGTGTTGTCCGTCCGGCTCTATTGAAAAATTAATTAGATTAATAATACATATTTAATTCTATTATTATTATTACCTGGATCTCCTCAACTAAAAGCTAAAAATAATTTTATTAATATTTTGTATAAATTATAAATTAGGTAACTTACCTTATTTAGAATATCTTCCAACTGTCCCTAAAAATAAAAAAAACGTTTAAAATACTCTTAAAAAAAAAAGACTTACCTTTGATATTTCCTTTTCCCGCTTCTAAAAAAATGATCGATATTAATTATCTAGAATCTAGATGAAAGAGAAAATATAATAGGTACTCACTTTATCAAAATTTTTTTCATCTGCTTCCAACTTAAAAAAAAAGAAAAAAAAACAATTTTAGTAGGTACCTACACCAAATATTTTTTACACACGTTAACTTAATTAAAGTACCTATAGTGTGTTAATATATTTCTTTCAATATATTTTATATTATTAAGTACTTACTTCCTTAATGTCCTTGTTTAATTGTTCCTAAAATAAGTAAAGCGTTATTAAATATAATAAATAAAAATAATTAAGTATATTAAATATTACAACACTTACTATTAATTTTTTCAAAGATTCCATCTAAAAACAATAAATTAATCAAAATATACATGGAAATTTTGTATATAAATAAATAATGCACGGTTCTAAGAGGTCATTTTCCAACTTTTTCTTTAAAATAATAAATAAAAGAAATCATGTATTTTCTTCCTAAGGTCTTTTTTACTTTGCTCGATTATTACTTACAGTAATTCATATAGGGGATTTTTGCTTTAAAACGCAATAATTTTATAAAATCATTAATAATTAATTAACAATTCTAATTTTTTGAGGAAATGAAAGGAAAATATGGTACTTTTAAACAAAAAAAAAAGAATTCATTTATGTCCATAGTAAAGTCTTTTTTACTTCATTCAATTATTACTATTATTGTATTTTTATTGAAAATGGCATAATAAACAAAATATCAGTGATAATTTTCATTTAATGCATAATTGTTTAAAAGTACCATATTTTTACTTCATTTCCTCAAAAAATTAGAAATGTTCATTAATTTAAGTTTAATATTTTTTAAAAACAAATGAGGAGGCGGCACGATTAAAATTTCGATATCGGCCAAATAAGAACCACAGTATATGTATATAAATGCTGTGATAAATAATGTAGGCATATTATTTCTTAAAAGTATTTTAAAACAAAAATGTATATTGATAATTTAACTTATTTTTGTTGTTTTTTTTACGAAAATATGTATGTAAATATTTGTTAAAAAAAACTTTTTTTTTTAATGTAAAGGGTGTTTTCTTATAAATGGGACACTCCTATGAAATCTTTATTAGAATATCGAAAAAATTTAAAATCCAGATGCATTGTTTAAAAAAGTAATTTTTTTGACAAAAATTCAAAAACAAAAAAGCATCGGTAAATTTAATAAAATAGCATCGGCATTGTTTTTTTTTAATGAAACACCCTGTATATTTTTGAAAAACAATTCAATTGGGCTACCACTAGATTAATTCTAAATTTAAAAGAAATTTTGTAAAATTTTGAAGTTAATTGATCAGAAAAAACACGTGTCCCTGAGGGTTTTTTTTAAGATAGGTAATTTATGAAATTGTAAGTGTTATTTTTGCAGATTTTTTTTAATTCAAACATATACCTACAAATTATATATATGTGTATTTGAAATTATAATAAAAAACTCTATCTAAATGTTCAAAAATATACAGGGTGTTTCATTGGAAAAATCAATGTTATATCTACATATCGCTCATTCGAAACAACAGTGACACAACTCAAAAATCAGTTTTTGAGAAAACGCATTTTAAATTTGTTATTACTGTTTTCCATTAACCAAGCCGGGCTAAAAAAATAAAAGCTGGGCTCAAATATTTTGGTTGTTTAGGCATACTCTCTAAAAAATAGTACCTAATAACAAATTTAAAATGCGTTTTCTCAAAAACTGATTTTTGAGTTGTGTCACTGTTGTTTCGAATGAGCGATATGTATTTCATAAATTTTACCGATGTTTTTTTGTTTTTTAATTTTTGTCAAAAATTTTTCATAAAATTATTTTTTCAAACCATGCAAGCTAGATTTTTTAATTTTTTAATTTATTTTCAAATAAAGATTTTAAAGAAGTGTCCCATTTAAACATAAACACCCTGTACATAAATATATTTTTAATGTCAATTAAAATATCAAATACCAATTAAATACATCAATTTTACCAATGCTTTTTTGTTTTTTAATTTTTGTCAAAAAATTTTCATAAAATCACTTTTTTGACCATGCAGCTGAATTTTTTATTTTTTTAATAATTATATTAATTTTTAATTTAATATATGTAATACAATATAATAATATTTTCAAATAAAGATTTTAGAGGAGTGTCCCATTTATACGAAAACACACTGTACATACATAGATTTATTTTTAATGGCAATTAAAATATCAAAAAATATCAATATTAAAAATATCAAATACCAATTAAATACATCAATTTTATCAATGCTTTCCTGTTTTTTAATTTTTATCAAAAAAATTACTTATAATAATATGTATGTAAGTGGTACCCTATTTGATATTTTAATTGTGGTATAAATGTATAAATATAATATTATGTAGGTATGTCCAGGGTGTTTTCGTATAAAAACTTTATTGAAAGAGAAATTTAAAAATCCAGCTGGCATGGTTTAAAAAGTAATTTTTTTGATAAAAATTATTATTATTACTAATAATAATTATAATTATTAATTAACTATCTACCCACTTTATCTAATTAATATTTATAATAATTAATAATAATTATTATTAATTAATTATCTACCCAATTATTATTTAATTATCATTTAAAAGTAAAATTCTATTTTAAAAAAATATGCCTCTATGTATACATTCTATGTATACATACATATGTACATTTTTAATTAAAAATAAATAAATTTCACACGTTTCAGAGGCATATTTTTTTTAAATAGAATTTTACTTTTAAATGATAATTAAATAATAATTGGGTAGATAATTAATTAATAATTATTATTATTAATTATTATAAATAATTATTAGATAAAGTGGGTAGATATATCTAACTATAGTTAATTAATAATTATTATTAGTAATAATAATTATATAATGAAATAGAATAGAAATTACCTCTCAGAACAGCACTAGGAATTGTAAATAAATAAATAAATTCTTTTGGTTACTTACTTTACTCAATGATGAAATAATAAACCACTAAATTCAGACACAAATAATCCTAGGACAAATAATATTATGACTGCAAATAAAAAATTGTTGTCGTCTCGTTGCTAAGCGACGAGTTTAGTGAAAGGAGGGGTAAGAAGCTAGCGTGGGAGATCGGAATTTCAAACAAATACCCCTTATTTTATCATATTTTCAAGCTTGGAACATTGGTGGGTAGATGGCGACACCTTACGGACACATTTTCTTGTAAATTAATAATAATACGCCTGGCACAGATCTTCCTACCACCTTGCGTCTCTTCACACACTTTACTCAATGATTATATATAATACATAATATAATGGTATTTTACCGTTGAGTGGAGACTTTCTTAATCAACGCTTTTAATAATGCTAAATGCTGTTTAAATTTAGACGACTTATTTTTCTGAATTGAAATGTTTACACTTTTCGCGTTAATCATTACTAAAATGTGTATTTATTGTATCTAATAGGTACAATTTATATTTACAGAGACTGCATGCAATTTATTTCTTCATTTGGATTAACACTGTTTATTGGAAAACCGGTTCAAACTCAACCCAGGATTTCCTCTCGAAATACACCCAACAACACAACAAATCGAGCCACGGTTTTTTTCTCGATATTTTTAACATTTTATTCTCAAAAACACTCGTTTGTAACATCGTACTTTTGTTACGATGATAAAAGCCGAGTGGTGGCGCTACTAGCGATACTTCTTTAGCGTATGCTATCTGTTTCTAAAAAACAGAAGTAGCTACCTATAATAAAGGTTCTCCTTCAAAATAGGAAGGTCTGCAAGGGAAATAAGATTATCTAAATTGTCAAATAAATACCTGGGTAAGCTTCTTGTGGGGCCACGCAAATATCCATGTAGACTTGCTCAAAAGTGCCAACCAATTCGATTTCTTTTGCGAGGAGGTTTATTAAAGGTCTCATCATCCTTGCCGGGCCTGTGAAGAGGTATAAACCCGGGTACTGAGTGACGGTATCTTTCTTTGGTACCAGCACTATTTCCAGAGTGCTTGGGATCTTGACGCCTTCAATTTTGAATATCCTGAGACCGTCCACGAGTTGTCTAGCGTAGTTGGTTTCTACGTAACCGATTACTCTGCCGTCCAATTGGACGACGTACCAATTTTTGAGGTCCAGCGTGCTGAAGAACTTCAGAGGTACCATCCCCAACTCCGTCAACACCAACGGTATGTTGTTGAGTCGCGCGGTGTCGGGCGTTTCCGTGACGCGACAGCTCAACGCCAGGTGGTTCAAAAGACCGCACGGGGTGCCGTCGGGCGTGTGCACCGGGCAGATGAACCCCCACGCGTCCGGCAGCAGCTGCCTGGCTTCCGTGGTGCGCATCTCCTGAAAGAAAGCGCCTCTATGGACAGCCCTGAAGTGCGACATGTAGCGCATGCGGTTGATGTTCTCGGCCACGATGGTCAGGCCCTTGTCCTGCATCAGCCCCAGGCCGGAGCTGCTGGCGACGTTGCCGGTGGCCAGGAAGTTTTCGAGGACCCTGTCCAGGGACCCTGCGAACTTGGCGGCCTTGAGGATGTCCTGCTGCGTGAAGTAGAACGACGCGCTCTGCGATTGCTTCGCTATGTTGTAGCGCAGAGATGTCAGCCAGTTTTGAAGTTTCTCTTTGATGATTTGCAGATATAAATGACCACCTTGAGGTACAAAAATTTCCATATAGTTGTCCATTTTTGAACAATTATAAAAAAAGAACTATTTTAAAGTAACTTAAAGTACTTAAATTTATTAATAGTCACTAAAAATTGTTAGAACAGCATATTAAACATTAAAACAGTAACTTTCAATAATTGAATAATAATAATAATATTTATAGCTATCAATAATTTACAGTTTATAAAATTAAGCGTTAACATAACATAGAAATGTTAAAAACATTTGTGCGTGTAAATTATTAATATACCTACATTTATTAAGCATTTGAACATTATTAAAAATGGTTTAACAAGTACTTAAAATTACTATAAAATTACTTAAATGATTGAAGTTACAACGTTGAAAGTAACTTGATTTTATTAAAATTGTTAATAACATTGTTAAAATAGTACTTAAAACATTCAAAATTGTTGATATAGTACTTTAACCATAACTGAAATTGTTAAATTAATACTTTAATTAAAACATTATTAATATAGTACCTTAACCATTTGATATTGTCAAAATAGTACTTAAATCATTCAAAATTGTTAAAATTGTACTTGACCGTATAAAATCCCTAAAAAAGTACTTAAACACAAACCATTTAAAAATCATCAAAATACATAAACCATTTAAAATTGTTATAATTATACTTAAACCGTTTAAAATCGTTAATATAGTATTTATTCTATTTTAAAATTTTCAAAATTAGAGTTAAACCATTCTAAACTGTTAATAAAGTATTTAAACTATTTTAAAATCCTCAAAATACTACTTTCACCATTTAAAATTGTTAATATAGCTCTTAAACCATTTAAAATCTTTAATATAATACTTGATATATTTCAAAATTCTCAAAATACGACTTGAACCATTTAAAATTATTAAAATAGTACTTAAAATTTAAAATCGTAAAAATAGTACTTAAACTATAACTGAAATAGTTAAATTAATACTTAAACTTATCAAAAGCCCATAGGAATCGTCAAAATAGTAAATAAATCTTTTAAAATTGTTTTTATGGTAGTTAAGGCATTTAAAATGGTCAAAATACTTAAACCATTTAAAATCGTTAATATAGTACTTAAATCTATTTTAAAATTTTCAAAACAAGACTTAAACCATTCTAATTTGTTAATATACAATTTAAAATCATAAAAATTATTCAAAATATAACTGAAATATTTAAATTAATGCTAAAGCCTTACAAATTCCCATTAAAATCGTCAAAATAGTACTTAAATCCTTTTAAATTGTATTTATAGTACTTAAACTGTTTAAAATTGTTAATAATATTAACTTAATATAGTACTTAAACCATTTTAAAATACCCAAAATAGTACTTAAACCATATAAAATTGTTAATATATTACTTCAAGCATTTTAAAATTCCCAAAATAGTACTTTAACCATTTAAAATTGTTATAGCACTTAAACAATTTAAAATCGACAAAATAGTTCTTTAATCTTTTTAAATTGTATTTATAGTACCTAAACTGTTTAAAATTGTCAAAATAGTACTTAAACCATTTGAAATTATTAAAATTATAACTAAACCGTTTAAAATCGTTAATATAGTACTTGATCTATTTTAATATTGTCAAAATACGACTTAAACCATTCAAAATTATTAATATGGTACTTACAAAATTTCAAATCGTAAAAATGGTACTTTAACTGTTTAAAATTGTTCATAAAGTACATAAACCATTTTAAAATCGTTTAACTACTAAACAATTCAAAATTGTTAAAATTATACTTAAACCGTTTAAAAATGTTAATATAGTACTTAAACCATTTTAAAATCCTCATAAACCATTTAAAATTGTCAAAATGGTACTTACACTATTTAAAATTATTTAAGTATTTTGACGATTTCAAAATTGTAAAAATTGTCCTTAAACCGTTTAAAATCGTTAATATAATTCTTGATCTATTTTAAAAATGTCAAAACACGACTTAACCCATTCAAAATTGTTAATATAGTTCTTAAAATCGTTCAAAAATACAAAAACCTTTCAATTTAAATTTTAAATTTCCATTAAAATCGTCAAAATAGTACTTTACCATTTAAAATGGTCAAAATAGTAGAAATAATATCAAAACTTAATATGTAATATGTAAAGTTGTAATACCTTAAAATTGCCAAAAAGTAATTAAATCTTTTAAAATTGTTAATATTACTTAAATCATTAAAAATTGTTAAAATTGTACTAAAACCATTTAAAATTGTTAATATAGTACTTTAACAATTTAAAATAGTTAAATGTTTAAAAATAGTTAATATACAATGTCATAATCCAAGTATGGTTGCTATGGAAACACTTAAAATAATCATGACTTGGTTATTATTAACAAATTACCAAATTAGAAAAATGTTTTCCTTATTTTTATATAAATAATGACTCAAAAACTATTTTTGCCAAACTTATTATATATTTTATACAATTTTTCTTACCTAATAAAAGCTCTTGCATCATGACAGCATCAGCCCCCTCCAGCTTGCATTTATCCTGCGCGAAAGCGAACAATTTCTGCGTCATAAACACCAACATGTTGAATTTATCCTCCCCAGAATTTAAATGTATCAAAATGCATTTATTGAGTATAAATTCGCCTATCTCTATATCAGTCCACCATTCAGGACATTCATAAAACTTGATCCTGAACATTTTGCCCAAGTAGGCTTTGCATTCTTCATGGGTGTGCAGATTTTCGACGTGCAACCCCCTTAGCATGTTTTGTACAGCACTAAAATTAATTTAGTTGGTTATCTACGTTGTTATATGGGGAAAACTTACTCTGTATAGTATAAATCTTCCTCAAAACCGTGTGTAAGCTTTTGGTATATGTATTGATCGCTAAAATCACAAAAACACTTCAATATAAGGCACAAGGGGGCATAATACAGAACTTTTCGGTAGCTGAACATTAATTTGGCACTGCCATCCGTGACAAAATGTAGTACATTGTTCTGAAATTCAAAATAATCAACAATTTTATCAAATAAATTAATAAAAAATTTCTTACAGTAGCAGTTTGATCATCTTTGACACATCGTATTGAAACCCCTGCATCAGAGAATAAAGCCCCCCGCATTTTCCACCCTGAACGTTTTATAGCTATAGGGTAGTTTCTGCGAGTCATTAAAAGCATTCTCACTATCCTTTCGTGACCTTTAACCACAAAATATCCACCCCATTCTTGTTCGTGTTCCCCATGCTTAACCAAGTCTTTGGGGGTCATAGAATTCAAATGACAACGATTCGACTGTAATATACTCAAAATAAAACATTTTTAACTACTAAAAAACATATAATTACCTTTATCATAACCGGTATATCGCCCATATCCTTTTCAAACGACAACTGTTGCACATCATCCAAAAACCAGCTAACACTAATCATAAATTTACCTTTGTAGGTGGCAGCCCGTTGCCTACATTCCGTAGGGTAAACCAACCTATTTCTCACCCCTATAGTGCCCAAAGGCACCTCAGGGGATTCGAAACTAAAATCATTCACTTCTAACCTAACTTTTCTTTCGTTTACCACAAATTCAACGGGGTTTAAGTCGGCTATAGCCTTCTTCAAACCCTCATTTATCATGTAGTTGAAGCTGGCGATGTGGTGGGCCCCCAGCTCGTGAAGAATCTAAAAAAAACATTTTTTTAAAATGCATCATAACCTCAATTACGCACGTGTAATTTTTTGGTTTGTGGTTTACAGCAAGTACTTACGGCATTTTGTTTGTCAGGGGGCTTCCCGAACTCGTTGTTTGTTAGGTTTTTTAACGTCGGTTCTTGTAGCATGTTTTTTACATTTATTTATTTTGATTGAAGTTAGGTTAGGGTCAAACGCCTGATCGTTATGCAACCCAGAAGTCATGCAAAGTTTGTATTGCATAAATTTGGGTTTATGCACCTTTGTAATCTGTGGTTATCAATTAAGGTAAGTTAATAAAGGTATTTTTTGCTGAAATAAGTATATTTATCACAACAAATTTGTAATAGTACAAAAAATTACAAAACCTGTAAGTTTTGAACCGAGCATATCACAATAATTCTTTGTTATAATACTGAAAATTAAACCCTGTAAGTATAGTACGTAAAGTACGTATTTTACGTAAAATAGAAAACATGTTAATACGATTTTTTAATGGACCATTTTCGTATAAGATACATATTTTCTATTTAACTTAACACACAAATTTGATTTTAAGGTGAAAGTAATACTTTTTTTGTAAATGTATTTTTATAGGACGAGGACGGTAATGGTAATTTTAATGTTTAATAATTTTGTGCAAAAAATCACCTACGTTTGACACAATGTTACGCTAAATTTTAATTTTAATATACTGCCGTGCTTAATGAAAACGCCGTAACCAACAATTTTGCGATTTTTGTTTTACGGCATTTTCTACTAGAACAATTCATCCTGCGTCTATCCCCGGTACTCAAAAAACCGTATCTATATATATACGGTTTTTTGAGTACCGGGGATAGACACTGGATGAATTGTTCTAGTAGAAAATGCCGTAAAACAAAAATCGCAAAATTGTTGGTTACGGCGTTTTCATTAAGCACGGCAGTATAGTAGTTACGAAAAGTGTATAAATTTTAGGTTAAAAGCAAGAAGACTAAAGTGACTTCTCCTTTAATTAGTCTTCTCGGTTGAAAGCTTATTTATAAGCTATTATACACTATGCTTAAGCTTTTGTACCGAACCAATAAAGATATAAGCTAATGAACAGTTTTTTGCTTGCATTTGACTTAATCATTGGTTTCTTCAGACTTGTGGGTTAAAAAATGGTGCCATATCCTAAAATTTAACTAAAACTAGAAGGTAAGGTATATAAGTGGTTATTTAAGCCTAAGAATTTGAAGATTCTATAACTCTAAAAAGAGGAGCTGACCTCAGCAAAACTTCAACGGCATCCTCACGATCTAGCTCGTGCAAAGAGGAAACTAAAGCACCTGTAAGTAGAAATAAAACATTAGACCAAACAACAGAGATCTAAGGTTATGTTGTTACCTATGGAGCAGTCGGCTGTGGTGAGCAGTCTCATGGTGTGGCTGGAATGTTGGGAATCCAAGGCGGCGATTTTTTCCTGACACAATCCGAGTTTGAGGGCCAAAAGGCACCAATCGCGGCCGTGCTTTTCCGGCGGGTCCAGGAGACCGCACAGCTTTAATTTCACCGGGCCTGAGAGGTCCTGGACTTTAGATACGCAACCCCAGTGCATATTGCTTGCCAATTCCACGTTACCAAACATTATTAACTCAACGATGGTCTCGTGTTTTTCCCTAATTGGATTAAAGAGAGTTATGTCGAGTGTGGACTCGGCTTCCAACATGGATGTGGAAATGGATTGCGGCTCGTAGCAAAAAGGTTCATCACAATGCGCTTTCAAGTCTTGCGAACTCATCACGTGTTTTTCTATCATTAAACCTGGACATACTTTAAATAAGGCCTACGAAAAACCTTTTAACAACTCTCTACGCAACAACCTACACTGGCAAACCTGTTCTATAGTCTTTAAAATGTTGTCCAAAAAGTAGAAACATTGTACTGAGGTATCGTTTGGTCCCCTGACTTTTATTTCAATGTATTCGTCTTCTTCCAAGGTTATCAGGCTTTCCAACTCGTTTGCGCACAGCTTCGAACCCATGTACCATTGGTAGAGGTCGGTGTCGCTGTCGTTGTTGGTGTAGAGTTGCATGGAAACTTTCCTCAACTCAACCTAAAACGTATCAGTTGCGGTGCCTCAAATTTTAGAAAATATTACCTGTAGGTGTGGGAACACCGATTTGAATAGGTGTAACGTGCCTGGGGGTGTATATAGCCTCACACCTCCATATTTGGAGTCTTTAATCGAGTATCTAGGGTCTCTGGAATCCCACAGACCTTCCAGTGTCTCCATGTGGTTGTATATAGGGAATTCGTACTCTATTTCGCCATCTATGTCGCACTATAAACAATTTCGTCCAGTGACAAACTTATGGTGTGGTAATGTTGGTATTGAGTACCTGTATGCATACATCCAAGGCTTCCAAGAGGTCTAGCACCCCTAGGGCATCGCACTGATTGTAGCTCGCTTGAAAATCGTCCGTGGTATAGACACCTGTGACTCTCGCGTGCAATAAAAAATGGTTTGATAGCAACTCGCCTATTAGTTGGACGCCCAGCCAAGGTACAGAGATTACAACCAAATCTTGTATACAGAAAACCTTAAAAATTATTATAATTATTTGTATGTTTTGGGGTGTTTTGGTTGGGTACTTCTCCCATAGAGTGAAGTTGCTGCAACAGCTCGTCTATGTGGTCATCTGAAGCGAGTAAATTGACCTGACATCGCAGTATCTCGGCAAAAACCGGCCTGGTTAGTACTGGAAACTGTTCGTAATCTTTTTGTAAAGTGGCAAGCCACGTTAGAGATGCTTCCAGCAATCCAGTCCACGTCCCAACAGTTTGCTACAAAGTTATCAGCACTTAGAAATTCTTGTTTCGTGAGTAAATCTGGCAAACAGGTGGTGAAAAACCAATGTCTATCTATGCATATGTTTATAAGGCTACGTTGGTATGTACAGGTTTTGTGAAGGCGCTAACATGGTGAACTAACTAATACAGGGACATCTCACTTAATCAATACCTTACTGCAGTATGCGGTCGATAGTAACTTATATTTTCCGTTTTTATTAAAAACAAATTTACCCTGTAAACATCGTTAAGTCATTACATGCCGCAAGGATCCAACCCGGGACCACTGCAGTCATCGACGACTCACCTGAATCAACTCCTGCCTCATGTTGGACAAAATGGACTTCAACTGCTTGAACGCGTACGACGCAGGCACGTTGCAGTCCACAACTAGAGCATGAGACATCAGATTCGGGGCGTGCGGGACCATTTTCCTGACGGACTCCAGCGTTTTCTGGGCGTCTGGACTCAACCACTCGCCGTTCTGAGTCTTGACGGCTCTGGTCAAGTCCACGTGCGTTCCTATGAGGACTATTTGGCCATACTCGGCTAAAATTGGGTGTTAAATTATGTGAATCAGTAAAAGTATGTTCTACCTGTCGGTAGATCGGCTGATTCCCTGGCCAGTATGAAGTTCAACCAAAAGCACACCTGCTGGACTTGCGTGGTGGGAGGATCTTCGAGATTGAACAAAATGGCTGTCAAAGAGTATGGGGTGGGCCATAGAAAGTGATGATACACAGAAAAATAGCTCTCTTGGCCTGAGAAGTCGTATACGGTAACATCTCCGACGTTTGATATGCTCATCTGCAAACAGTCTGGATAAAAATGATTTCCGGTGATGATGAACTTACATTTTGTACGCTTATTCCATTTGTACCGTTGTTCGCTGGCGATTCAAAGCTCAACGAGTTCTGTCTCGACGTTACGTCCATCTCTATTTGAGTGTTGATTGGGGATGATGGTCTGGCTGCAAATAATCCACCGTGGTGGAATAACATGAACCTCCACTACATCAGAAACTCACATTTATTGCTCTGCAACGAGCTGGACCTCCTGAAGAGACTGCTGAACAATCCAGCACCTAGAGACTTCACCACAGACGTTTTCCCGACTCCGCAATGCCCTAGAAGACGCAGAGACAGCCTCAAAGCGGATTTGGAGGTGGGAACCAGCTGTCTAGCGAAGGCATCGCGTTGGCCTGTCACTCTAAGCCGATCGAGGAGCTCTGCGATGTCGTTGTGGCCATACTTCAGAGCCGTGATGTCCGCTTTTATGTTATCGGAGTTTCTGATGTCGATGTTACATCCCGATGCGCACAAGCACCTTGACATTACAATGTAGGTATACGTGGAAGGTGATACTAGTACTACAACTAATATAAATCTAAAGGAAGTTACCTAACAACTGGTATATGTCCATTTTTGGCCGCCAAATGCAGAGGAGACAGTCCCTTTTGATTGGCCACTTCTACACTACATCCTAGTGAGCATAAAGTATGCACAATATCTAAGAGGCCTAGTGTGCATGCTATATGAATAGGGTAGTCCCCATGCTAAAAAAAGGGACGTTTATAGGTCTATCTATATAGTCTATCACTTGTTTCATATTTTAAAAACTTACAGAGTCCCTGCATTCAAAGTCCGCCCCTGCTTGCAATAAAAGATGTGCTATGAAAACGTTTTGTTTGTGCAGGGCCAAATGTAGGGCTGGATCCGGGCCTGCGTCTAAATCAGCTCCACTTTCAATTAAATACCTTAAAAAATTGTTGTAGTTTGGTGTTTATTTAAAAAAAAACTATAACACAATTTCTTACCGAATTTGTTCGATGGACCCGCGTCTAGCCGCAAATTGTAGCGCAGTGTTTTCGAAAGACCCTGCGGGGCTGTACGAAGGACCTCTGCTTAGGGACCCGCTCATTTTTCACATCTACATTATAAAGAAACCATCTTGTAAGTAGGGACGTTTTAATTGCGACTGTACTTACGATTGTTCAACATTACCGCGTAGAGAAAACAAGATGTTTTTGTCTTTAAAACTGACACTACGTTGTTTAGTAAGTTTCCAGTCGTTCCACTGCTGCTCAGCTGATCTGTAAAAATCAATAAAGTGTGGGTGGATGACGGAAAATAAATAATGCATTGAATAGACCAAAAATAGAACAAGTGTTTGTTTAATTGATTTTACATTTCAAATAGTGGTTTACACATTGAAATGATTTAATTTAGTTTATGAAAAAATCAATAAAAACAAAAAATATAAGGAAATCCTAAATATTTAGGTATACATTTTTTAACATAATAAGGCATGTTTCAGGCATAAACATTTGATTAAAACTATTATTCCTATTATAATTAACTTACTCAACGCTGGTATAGT